CTTATCCAAAAAGATTTCTTATATCGCTTTTCTGTGGGATCGATACTGGGGGGTTTTTAAAGAAAGCCCTAAATTACTTGAAGTGATATGCACACTTGCGCATAACCAATAGTGTGTGAACTATTTTATATATTTTATTAATTTTGCACACTAGCCGCTAAATATAAATTTGGTCAATTTTTTTGCTTTTTTTTAAAATTAAATTACTGCATAATTGAGGGTCGGGTCAAGTTTTTTGCTCCGTTGAAGGCAAAGCAACGATAAGAGCTTTAGGAGAATTTCAGTTGAACCTATAAAACATGGATTTAGAAATTATAGTATTATTATATAGTGTATTTAATTATTGTGTTTATTTTAAAGAAAAATATAAAATACCAAAAAAATTTTTGATATTTGTCCAATTAGTTGTCTTTGAATTTGTATACGTAGTTCAAGAGCTGCAGACCTTAAATTTTTATGACTCGGATTTTGAAAAAGTTTTTAGGAAGACTATAAATCAAAAAAGACTTCATGAATTTAATGTAAAAATGGCGAATCAACAAAATAATGAATATTCAAATTTGGATTATAATGCAGTCAAGCACTCCCAATTATTGAGGAAAATTCATTTGGACAATGGATTGAAACTAGTCATGAGATACATAATTTTTATTCATATTATTACAACCCAAGTTGGGAAAATCATTTGAATTTTAACTGAAATAACAGTTTTGAAGGAGAAGACCAATTTTGGGAAGATAATCAATTTAATTGGACATGTAATTGAAATAATCAGGGTGATTTTAACGATGAATTTTCTTTACCTCATAGAATTAACTTCAACCCACAGAATGGGGAGAACGAGTTCTTATTAGAAAATATTGTGATTCAAATGAAGAGTCAACTGGAAAGTCAAGAGGTCGCAATTAGAAATATAGAAAATCAACTGGGGTAAATTATTAATTCAATTAACAGTTATCCTCCAGAAATTTTATCTAGTGACCCTGAGATAAAACTTAAGGAGAAAAATGGTGGGCAAGATATAGCTACCCCAGTTGATATATCTATACCAGTTGATAAAACTAAGAGTTGAAAGAATTGAATGATATGGTTCAAATAAATGTTGAGTTGAGAAAAGAGGAAAAAATGATTAAAAGACTAATTGAAGAATTCCTATTTCATCAACCAAGATAAATATAGAAATACCACAATCACCATTTCTTTAGCCACAAGGGCAAGAATTGGAAGATAACTTGAAACAGAAGAGTAACCTAGTAGAATTTGATCGATAATTTGAATTATCTAAAGAGAATCCGATCCAAAATTTGGGAGATCTTGAACTATCTTATAGAGATCCATTTATTATAAATTTCAAGGATGATATTAATATGTAAATCGAGAAAATCATTAGAAGAACATTGGATCTAGAAAGAAACAAGAGAAATAATGATATGAATCAATATGAAAAGAAAGAGCTGAAAGAAAAATTAAAATTCGAGGATTTTGTAGGAATCCCTAGATCTGGAAAAGACTGACCAATTGAGAAAGGATTACTTAAATGGAATTTAGAACCGAGAGGAACCATTTGACGGGTTAGCTACGTTAAACCAAACGTTTTATGAGAGACAACTCATAGTTATCAGTATAGTTTGATTTAGATTTTTTAGGTTTGTTGTGTTTTTTTAGTGTGGATTGATCAGTTTGATTGGTGTTGGTGGATGTTTGGATTGCTAGTGAATTGATTTGATCTTTATGTGTCATTGTGGATTGATCAGTTTGATTGATGTTGGTGGATGCTGGATTATTAGTGATTTGATTTGATCTTTGTGTGTCATAAGAGGTGATTCCTTAACTTCATATGACTAGACTTGTTTATGTTCTCTTGTAGTAGTTGGATTAACGGGTCTTTTATAACTTAGATCTCAATCGAATTTGAATTTTATAGGATACCTCTTGAATTTGGACAGTGACAAATCCATCTCAATTTTGTTACTTCTTTTCCCTGACTTTGTTTTCATTTGGTAGGAGTCATGAACATTTTGATGAGTAACATGTGAAAGATCTTACAGTATCCTGTTAGAAGTGCATACTTAAAAGGATAAGGTGATGTCTGAGATTAGTGCACGTGAGCCAATATATCAAGAATAATCGTATCCATGGGATTAGAATATATAAAAACATTTAAAGGTACCCAATTGATTAGTGGTGTGATTCTGTTAGGAATTGGAAGTAAAATACTGAGATGTGATGAGTTAAATGATGAGTTAACCTCATTTATTATGTGTGTTTGTGTTTGTGTTACAACAATATATAGGACTTGGATAACACTTAAATATATATTCTGATGTTAATACTTGTCATGCTTGTTAGATTTTTCTTTAGTTTAATTTTATTCTGGCATGTTTAGTTTAGATTTACATTCTGTTGCATATTATTCTGTCCTGATGAATACTTGTAGATGTTTTTTATAAACATTTGTGGTAGATAAAAATTATGAACTATTTTTCTTCCAGTCTATATTTTCTGTATTGAATGTTATACATGTTAAAAATCAAGTTTGGGGGTAGGAAGAAAAATAAATTTAAAAGTTAGTATACTTCATTTTAGTTTAATATTATTGCAAGCATGTTTTAGGCTAGCTTAACTTTCTTCTGCAGTCATTTAATCCTGATTATGCATGTATAATAATTCGATAGAATGTTGTATTCGTCAGTAAATTCAGTTCTTATTTTTTTTCCTGCTACATTTTATGGAATTAATTGCAAAATATTTAAAATTTTAAATTTAGGGGGAGGAAGAAGAATCTTTCAAACTTAAATTTATTTGTCATTAGTAACATATATTTAATTTGATATCACTTTTAAAAAAAACTTGTGGTATGTGGTGTTATCTTCAGGTTACTATGATTTTGATTTTATGAATGTTAGAAAAAACATAGTTGGGATCCTATGTGATGAAATTGTTCTAAAGTTGAGATATTTTGTAGGAAACATTAGAAAAATTATTTTGCTATATATGATAGAAATAAGTTGAATATTTGAAAAGCTGAGACTATTAGATTTATACTTAATGAAAATTGAGCCTTTATTGAAACTTTTTTCAAACTAATGCTTGCACTTTTAAAAAGTGAGTGAAAGTTTTAGTATTGAATTTTAGAAAGAAGATAGTGAAATTCAAAACTA